TGCTTCTTGCTCTGACTGAGGGCTGCTGGGAGTAGGAGGTGGGGCTTGTTGCATGTGCCTACCCCCTGGGCTCTTTACTGCCGGAGCTCCGCTCCTGTGTGCTTCCGCAGGAAATGACCCTTGTGTGCACATGCACTCAAGGTAATGTGTACGGTGCTCAGTCAGTTACGATCTGAGGTCCAAACCGCTTTGCCTTTCAAGTCTTTTACTGCCGGAGCTCCGCTCCTGTGCGCTCCCGCAGGAAATGACCCCTGTGTGCACGTACACTCAAGGTAATGTGCATGGTGCTCAGTTACGATCTGAGGTCCAAACCACTTTGCCTTTCAAGTCAGTCGGATTCCGGTCTTGTCGTTTTCTTGGAAAGCAAAGTGTGGTCAAATTAATTGCAAAACGAATACCGAAGGTAAACATCATAAAAACGAAAAATGGTGTTATTGCAGTAAAACTGACCTGAAAAAAAAATTGCATCTACAGTCTGTATTTGTACAGAGAACCAGTTTGGTGTAGTGGTTAAGAGTGCAGACTCTAATCTGGGAGAACTGGGTTTGATTCTCCACTCCTCCACACGCAGCTGCTGGTGTGACCTTGGGTCAGTCATAAGTCCTTTCAGAGGTGCTCTCTCAAGGGCAGTTCTCTCAGAGCTCTCTCAGCCCCACCTACCTCTCACAGGGGTGTCTGTTGTGGGGAGCCGCTCTGAGACTCCTTTGGGTAGAGCACGTTGGGGTATAAATCCAATCCCCTCTTCTTCTTCTTCTTCAAACTTCTTCTGATTAGAGTTGCCAACTTTGGCCTTGGGAATTCCTGGAGACTTGGGGGTGGTGCCTATGGAGGGGTGAATTTGGGAGGGATTTCCCCTTGAATCTACAGTATAGAGTCAGACCTCTGCAACTACTGTCTCCTCCAGGGGAACTGATCTCTGTTTGTGGAGATCAGGTGTAATTCAGGGCAAACTCCAGGCTCCACCTGGAAGCTTGGGACCCCACCCTACCTCAGATGTATTTCCCAAATAGAAGGCACAATTTAAGCAAGAACAGATGAGCTCTTAGAGGATGGGGCTACAAACTATCATGTTCTGTAGTCATTTTTCATCTCGAGTTGGGTGAACTGGGGCACTGTATTCTTGGTGCCTGGGCGGGGTCAACAGTGGGAGGGCTTCTAGTGTCCTGGCCCCACTGGTGGACTTCCTGGTGTCACCTGGTATTTTTGGCCACTGTGTGACTACAGATGTGAAGGCCCTGCATGTGGGTGGGTATTCTGTTTGTAATAATTGTTTGAATACACTATATTTTTAATATGCTAGTTGTGATAATTTCATGCCAAGTAAAAATGTCCATAGTCATATTTTATGTTCCTAAAGTAACAGAATGACTTTCAATCTAGAAAAGACAAAAGAAATGCTAATGTAGCATTTTTTCTATTTTTCCGAAAATTTCCATTTCCCCACCAAAAAAACCGGGGGAAAAAACGGGTTTTTTCCCGAGCTTCAAAATTTCCGGAAATTTTACATCTCTATGTGTGACCAATGCTCCCTCTAAACTGTGGAGTCTTGTGAGCTACTGGCATTAAAGTTGGGAGCGAGCCATTTGGCTGCTGCATAACCTAGTTTGCTCTGGAGCCATCCCTTCCTGAGCTAAGGCAGAAATGTGTGAGCTGGAGGCTAAAAAAACAGTGAGCTAGCTCACACTCACTCAGCTTAGAGGGAACCCTGTGTGTGACAGAGTGTCGGACTGGAGACCTCGCTGGCCTCTCTTATGTTCTGATGTTCTTTTCTTCTGGATTCTCAAAATGTTTTGCAATTTGTGTCTGGTGAGCCACCCACCAGCAGATTTACGAGAAATCTAGATTGTGCCCATTCTATAGAATGGAAAGAAAGGCCGGAGGTCTTGTTGGCAGTGGGAGGGATCGAAGCCAAAACAGTCCGTATGACACACTGGCTGGACGCGGGTCGCAGTCTCTCGTTCCAAAGTAAAATAATTTTTCAAATGTCGTGTCCTAGAATACAGACTTGATCAGCACAGCGGGCTATGACGGTATCACCCAGCATATGAACGATGGCAGGAAGAACTGCAAGGAATATGAAGACTTTTTGAAGGAAAGGTAAGTTTCTCCTCTCCTGGGATCAGCAAAGCCCTTTGTCCTGAGAACTAATGAGGGATGCAAAATCCAGTCTCGTGCAGTGGTTAGGAGCGCAGACTCTAACCTGGGAGAACCGGGTTTGATTCCCCACTCAATTATAGCCCATTGAAGAACATAGCTGTAGGCATAGCTTCATGATGAAGTGAATCAACAGTATATTTCCAATACGTCACCAAGAGAAATGAATTGTTGAAAGACAGTTTTTGTACACATCCTTGTTCGGAAGAAGATCATTGTCGAAACGGCACACCATTCCGGAGACCACCGTCTACATTCACTATATATATGACTTATTTTCTGTTATTGTATATTATGATTTATGAATATATTACCAAGCGCTAAATTGTCACTGTTCTTTTCCCTTTTTTCATTGGTCTTATTACTGTGCCCATTCTTGTTACTATTCTTAGCCACTGTATGACACAGGATGCTGGACTGGATGGACCACTGGTCTAATCCGGCAGGGCTCTTCTGATGTTCTTATGAAGGCCTCGGCCTCTCTGCCCTTTTGTTGGCCCTCCAGAGGAACTGGCTGGCCACTGTGTGAGACAGGATGCTGGACTGGATGGACCACTGGTCTGATCCGGCAGGGCTCTTCTGATGTTCTTATGAAGGCCTCGGCCTCTCTGCCCTTTTGTTGGCCCTCCAGAGGAACTGGTTGGCCACTGTATGACACAGCATGCTGGACTGGATGGACCACTGGTCTGATCCAACAGGGCTCTTCTGATGTTCTTATGGAGGCCTTGGCCTCCATGCCCTGTTGTTCGCCGTCCAGAGGGACTGGTTGGACACTGTGTGAGACAGGATGCTGGACTGGATGGACCACTGGTCTGATTCAGCAGGGCTCTTCTGATGTTCTTATGGAGGCCTTGGCCTCTGTGCCCTGTGGGTGGCTCTCCAGAGGAACTGGCTGGCCAGTGGCCACTGTGTGAGACAGGATGCTGGACTGGATGGACCCCCACTGGTCTGGCCTGGCAGGGCTCTTCTGATGTTCTTGGAAGCAGAGCTGTGAAGAGAGAGCCCAGTGGGGATCTCTGCCTCCTTTGGAGGCCTCAGAGTTTGACCCCAGCGGCAGAAAGAGCCGGCATTTGAACTTAAAGCCCTGCGAAGTGGGCAGGGCCCCAAATATGGCCCTCAAATGGGGGGGGAATTGACCACCTCTGTCCTACAGACAACTTTCGTGCCTCCCTTCCCACCCAACAGGGCCGCCATAGAAGAAAGATATGGGAAGGATCTTCTTGGATTGTCGAGGAAGAAACCCTGCGGGCAGACGGAGCTGAAGTGAGTGGTCGGTTTCTTAAAATCTCTCTCTCTTTTTGAACTTATACCTGACAGAAATTCTGATTTTCGTGTAGAATTCGGATGGCGCTTCCCCCCCAATCGAGGATCCCATCGGACCCTACTTTCTCTGCTTTTTATGATGTCAGGGGGGGGGCGGGCGGGGGGATAATATCTTGTTAGGAACCGTGGCACGACCCTTGTGAGTGGTAGGGTTGTCAGGTCTGGTACGGAACTGCAGGGTCCATCCTGGGATCTTCTGGTGTGCCTCCGTGATGTCACTTCTACTCAGGGGTAATTTCGTAGAAAAAGAGGCGCAGGAGCTCATTAGCATAACTCATTTGCATATGCCCCTCCCCCTGACATCACCAGAAGTGTGTCAGAAGGCAACAACCACCGCTCAGGCTCCACTGGACTGTTTGGGATTGCTAGCTATTGAGGAGGGGGGAACGTGCAGATCTGTCCTTGCAGAGGAGGGAGATCTTGTACCTGAAGGCGGGCGGGGGGGCGCCCTCTGCAACTTACCTGGCTGCTTCTTGCTCCTCATAGCCCGACTGAGGGCTGCTGGGAGCAGGGGGCGGGGCTTGTTGCATGTGCCCGCCCCCTGGGCTCCTTACTGCCGGAGCTCCACTCCTGTGCGCTCCTGCAAGAAATGCAGGAGACTCGCCATCTAGTGGTGCATAACGCTAAAAGAGCTAGAACCTCCGGCTGCCAGACAATCTTAGGATCTCCTGGCTATTCTACACACAACGCCATGCGATGATTATTATTTCAGTAGCTGTGCAAGATCTTCCCGGACCATTGTGCCCAGTGCTAATGCTAATGTGTGTGTGGGCGCCACTGTAGGGTGGAAATTTCTGGAGATTTGTGTGTAGAGCCTGGGGAAGAGAGGGAAGCCAGTGGGGTACAGTGCCATAGAGTCCCCTTTTCTGAAGCTGCTGTTTTCTCCGAAGGGAATTGATCTCTATGGTCTGGAGATCAGTTGTCATTCTGGGAGAGCTTCGGGCTCCACCTGGAGGCTAGGCTTGCCAAGTCCCCCCGGGGGGTGGGGAAACCCCCGCCCCAGAGGTCCGTTCCCCGCCGGCGGCGGATCGGGCCCCGGGGGGAACCCCACCCCGACTTTTTTACGCTGGGGGCAGGGCCACAGTCATCCGAGGGAAAACTCTATGGTTTTCCCTCAGATGGTTGTGGCCCCGCCCCAGCGTGCCCGGTGTGGTCGCGTCACTTCCGAGTGTATTGGTTTTATGGGTTTTCCCGGGTTTTTGGATGATGTTTGTATTGTAAATCTGCGCTAGTTGTGGATCTATATGTCTGGAACCCGGCCTGAGCTTACGATATGGGGAGAGAGGGATATAAGTCCAATAAAATAAATAAATAAGATCCTCGGCACTAGGGGGGTGTCGGAGGCGAATCGAGACCTGGAGTCCGCTGTTTGTGATTTCCTCGATTGCATAACTGGATGTTGAAAGAGGTTCCCCTTCCTGCTGCGTGCAAAGAAGTGGCTGCCTTGTTGGGACCTGAAAGTAAAACCAGTCCTCCTTTCCTTGCGTCTCTTCTCTCTTTCCACCCCCTCAGCCTCTGACTGTGTGCCTGTGTTTCTGTTTCCTTTTCAGCACCCTGAAAAGAGCCCTAGATGTTTTCAAGACCCGTAAGTAACTTGCACGAAATCTCACTCGATGGGGTGTCACCGCGAATGCAGATCGAGATCTTCCTGTCCCCCGGCAGATATTCAGAGTGCCTTGATTGCTCAGAAGAGCTGGGAGTGTCAAGTGTGATTAGGGCTTTTTTTGTAGAAAAAGCCCAGCAGGAACTCATTAGCATAATAGGCCACACCCAACAGCAGAAACTCATTAGGCCACACACCCCTGATAGCACAGCTTATTGGCATATTAGGCCACACACCCCCATGTTACCAGAAGTGTGGTTGTCCAGTCACACCCACCTTTTGCTTCTTATTCTGTTTACTTTGTTGTCAAAACCCAGGGCTTTTTTTGTAGCAGGAACTCCTTTGCATGTTAGGCCACACACCCCTAATGTAGCCAATCCTAATGAGTTTCTGCTGTTGGGTGTGGCCTATTATGCTAATGAGTTCCTGCTGGGCGTGGCCAACTCGGGAGCCAGCCAGAACTCCGTTCCTGTGCGTTCCTGCCCCAAAATAGCCCTGCGTGTGATATAATTCGGGGAGTATGGTTGCTAGCCCCCAGGTCCGGGCAGGGGATCCCTCAGTTTGGGGGGCCCCCGCCTGCCACAGATAAGCTGGCAGGCGGGGGAAGCCCCTCCACTAAAAAGAGACGTTACCGCGCTACGTCCCCGATGCAGTGACATCACCCGGAAGTGACATCATCACGTTGGGGTGTGCGGGGGACGCTCTGGTATTTGGGCAGACTCTATGGTTTTGAGGGTGGGAAAACCCATAGAGTGTCACCCAAATACCAGAGCGTCCCCACACGATGACGTCACCTCCGGGTGACGTCATCACGTCGGGGATGTCACACAACGTCCCCGCCCACCTCTGAGATCCCCCACACATCCTCCCACGGGGGGGGAATGAGGAGACCTGGCAACCCTATCGGGGAGCTGTCTTCCCCTCGCCCGCACCTATCCCGAAATACATATGGAAGGGCGTCGGGAGATGGAGGTGTGGCTCCAGCATTGTGGGTCGGCTGGCCAACCTCCAGGTGGGGCCTGGAGATCTCCCAGTATTTCAACTGATCTTCAGACCTCCCAGAGCTGTTCTCCTGGAGGAAACAGCTGCTTTGGTGGAGGGTGGACTCTGTGGTGTTAGGCCATGCTGAGGTCTCTCCCCCTCCCCAAGCCCCACCCTCAGATCTCCAGGGATTTCCCAGCTGGAGCTGGCAACCCTGCCTGTGGGTCGCGTTCCTCTTCCGGATTATATTGTTGTGTCTGAAATTCCTCATACACACTTGGAATGAAACAACTAGGTTTCTTTATTATGAAGAAACAAGCTATGTGCTGGAACTCCCCCCCCCTGCCAGGCGGAGGGATGTGACTCCTGCCCAGTTTGGTGCAGTGGTTAAGTGTGCGGACTCTAATCTGGGAGAACCGGGTTTGATTCCCCACTCCTCCACTTGCACCTGCTGATGTGACCTTGGGTCAGTCACAAGCTCTGGCACAGCTGTCCTTGAAAAAGAGCAGTTTCTGTCAGAGTTCTCTCAGCCCCACCCACCTCACAGGGTGTCTGTTGTGGGGAGGGGGAGGGAAAGGAGTTTGGAAGCCACTCTGAGACTCTAAATGAAGGGCGGGGTATAAATCCAATCTCTTCTCTTCTTCTCTTCTCTACCAATACACAATACTACGCAATAGGCATATGCATATCAAAGTTAAATAAATTAGACAAGACGCACAAAGATCAACAGAACCAGAGAGAGAAAGAGTCTCCCAAAGTTTCTAAGATTGGATGAAGGTGGATTTGTAGGGTCCTTCCTTTATACAAAAACGCATGAGAACCGGCACATTATTGAATTACATTAATTGACACTTCGGTCGTATTTCTGCTGTGCAAGACATGTTTTCTTACAAGTTCTGACGCAGGAAAAACAATTGCTGTTGTATGCCGTTGTTGCAAAGATGTTCTCAAACCGATGGAAATGATTGCATTGTCAGAATACATCATTGTGTTCTCATCGTTTAAGATAAGGAGCCTTGAGGTTTGGTAGGCTTGCCAAGTCCCCCCGGGGGACGGGGAAATCCCCACCCCAGAGGCCCGTTCCCCGCCGCCGCCAGATCGGGCCCGGGGGGAACCCCACCCCCAAAGTACGTGACGTGCACGTCACCTGGAAGTGACGCGACCATGCCGGGCACGCTGGGGGCGGGGCCACGGTCATCCGAGGGAAAACTACGGTTTTCCCTTGGATGGTTGTGGCCCCGCCCCCAGCGTGCCCGGCGTGGTTGCGTCACTTCCAGGTGACGTGGTTGTAGCGCGCGGC